ATGAAGCCACGCTCCCCTCATGCAGGGCTGCCAGAGGGGGCCTCAGAATGGCACAGGGCAGCCTGCTCTTCTATCACCTGGAAAAGAAAGTTCTTGGAGAGGGCTCTCAGTGACCCAAGTTGACACCTGTCAACTAGCTTAAGATTGAGAGGAAAAACCGTTTGGGGTGCTCTTTGGCTTCTTTTTAAGGGCCCAAAGGTAAATCTTCACCCTCCATTTTGAGTGGGACTCTTGTTCACCTTTGCCAGGTGGAGCTAACATAAGTGACCTGGAGCCAGAAGCTGCTGGCGCAATGTGTTCACCGCTGTTTGCTCAAGTGCTGGTGTTGACTTGGCACTGGGCAAAAAAGATAAATATGTAGGGCAAGGCCACATCTCGGAGACTTTATGCAGAAGTCGATCTTTTCTTTGCTGATTTCTTTCCCCCTCTGATCTGTAGCAACATCATCCTTCATCAAAGGGTGTCTCTGAGACCATGAGGTTATACTCTCTCTCTCCCTCCCTTCCTCCCTCCCTCCCTCCCCCCTCTCTCTCTCTGTCTCTCCCCCTCCCTCCCTCCCCCCCCCTCTTAATTTTGTTGGTCATGGGATTGAATTTAGTTCCAAGATAGAGTCAGTCTAGTAATTCTCAATAGAGAGCAAGAGTGAAGTGTAAAACTCAGACACTTCCTCAGAGCACTGGACCGTTTGAGCCATAGTACTACTTCTAGCCAGCTTTTTTTTTTTTTGATAGTTAATTGGAGATTAAAGTCTCATGGGATTTCGTGCCCAGGTTGACTTTGAACTAGGAGCCTCAGATCTCAACCTCGTGCATGCGTAGCAAGGATCACAGGCATGAGTTTTCACTGCCTGGCATTGTTTGTTTGATGAGGTTTTTTTCTGTTTATTGTTGTTGATGTGAATGCTGAACATATTTCCAAGTATAGCAGAATTTTTTGCCCTCTAAACTTTTCCACTTCAGTTAATGAACCTAAGGAACGATACTGTGAACCATGCTAATTGAAATCCTTAATGATTTCTTCTTTAAGCTTACTTTGAAAGAAGTTTTATTTCAGCCCAACAAGTGCAAATGTGACTTAAACAAAAACAAAATTTCTAGTTCCTAGGCCAGAGTAATCATACCTTAATTTGGAAATGTATTTTCTCTGGCAAACCAAGGGGCTGATTTGCTTCTGCACTATCAGTATGCTTCGTTTGAAGGGGAGTGGGAGGGGAATTATGTTGGTACTAGGGTCTTGAACTCAGAATCTCATGCTGCCCCTTAGCCTTTTCCAGGTTGGAGTTCTTCCTTTGAGCCTCAGCTCACCTTCAGCTTCTTGCTAGTGAATTAGAGGTAAGATTCTCATGAAATTTTCTGCCCAGGCTGGCTTCGAACTGGCAATCTCAGATCTCAGCCTCCTGAGTAGCTAGGATTACAAGCATGAGCCACTGGCACCTGGCTCAGCATGTGCATTTAGTGTATCATCCTTCTATGAAAAGGGATGCGTTTTAGGGCATGTAAAGTGGGGGGGGGGGACAAAGGGAGGCCCTGCCCCCTCTGGGTATTTGTCATCTATGTGGCTGATTGGACCTCTGCTTCCAGAGTGGCAAGACTCTTTGGGTTCTTTCTGGGCCAGCCCAAAGTGCCATAGCCAACGCCTAAGCAGGCTTACACATGAGCCACATGGCCAGTCGAGAATGACAGGGCAGGCAGTTTACCTACAAAGAATGGAATCTGGACACAGATGGGCTGGTGTCTTCCAGAACCAGCAGGCTGCGCTTCTCACACTGACTGGATTGGAGTTGGCTGGGGTCACCTTTTGCCTGTTTTCCTGTAAATACAAGAGCCCTTCTACACAGGGGTCAGATTCTTGTCTCCAGCTCAGTACCTTTGTGGTTTTCTTCTTTTAAGTTTCAAATTTCTTTGGCTCACATGCCTTATCATTTGTAAACTTTGGCCTTAGAAGCCTGACAGAGAGCAGAGTACTCTACCTGATGCCACTTAGTAAATACGAGCTGCAGACCCTGTGGTAAAGGGGAGAGTATTGAGATGCAAGGTTAGGTGGTTTCCCCCAACAACCACAGTACTTTACTTGAGTGGAGGATCCAAGATTTGAACCCAGGGCTCTTTGATTCTAGAGAATATGCCTTTTTTGCTCAACATCTTGTAAAACCTGAGTTAGACTAGCCAGTCCACTTAAAAGTTGTCCCATGCCAAATGGATAACACAAGAGAATTCTGTGCTATTTATCAAGATATTTTAATTTTATTTACTATCATTTCAACTCCTGAAGTCTATTTACTATCAAAGGTACACACACAGCTATTCAAGCAAGAATCTCATCAACTTTCAACACTTAATACTTGTCAAAAATCCTCAAACACCTCACCCCTATCTTATGCATATTATTATCCTCTTGCTTTCCTAATCACTTTCCTAAAGACAGCTATCTAGGCTGGTTTCTGGTACCTTTTCACTGGATTTCATTGTAGCATTTTTATACCTATATATAATGTACTTGGATCATTCGCACACACCTCCATTACTTTCCCCTGTTCCCCTTCCTTCTTATCTCTTTCCTTTACCCAACAAGCCTCTCTCTTCTACTTTCATGTCTTTGTTTTTGTTACTGTGCTGGTCGGTCCTGCAGCTTGAACTGCAATCCCTGAGCTTTTGTGCTGAGGGCTGGCACTCTACCACTTGAGCCACAGCTCCATTTCTGACATTTTGCTGGCTCATTGGAGATAAAGAGTCACAGACTTTCAAGCCCTACAAATCTTAGGGGATGGGCACATGGTTTAGGTGGTGGAGTGCTTACCAAGAAAACATAGGGCATTCATTTCTCTTGTAGCTCTAAAATTTGTAACATGGGAATATAAAAGATACCTAAACACAAACCAAATCCCTATAGCCAAAGCCGATGAAAGTGTGTTATAACGTTCAGACCATCACTAAAGTTTGCAGTAAAAAACTCAGTCCTCAGCTTCCTCATGCCAAAGGAAAAGGGGAATACGGGATCAGCAAGGTGGTTTGTTTATTCCAAATAATGAAAGCATGGAGACAAAAGGCTTTTTTTTTGGCTCACAGATGTAATAACTAAGCAGTCATTGTTTTGAAACTTTTAGAGATACTTATGTTATTGACACCAACAGATTTCAGACTAAATGCAAACAATTTCATTTGCAACTTTTGTGATGGAATTGGGAAATGACCATTTCTGGCCAGGTGCCGGTAGCTCAGACCTGTCATCCTAGCTACTCAGGAGACTGAGATCTGAAGAACAAGGTTCAAAGTCAGCCTGGGAATCAAAAGTCCATGAGACTCTTATCTCCCATTAACAGCAAAAAGCCAGAAGTAGAACTGTGGCTCAAGTGGTAGAGCACTAGCACTGAGTAAAAAAGCCAATGCCTTCACCTCAAACCCCAGTACTGGCAGGTACACACACACACACACACACACACACACACACACAAGAATGATGTTCTAGGATCTCCTTAAATGATAACACTTTCTCCCATCATTAAAAGTGATAAAGAAAAATGAATGAATCCTTCTAATAATGAAAAGCAGCAGGAAGTAACTTTACTATAATTATCCTGAAGTAGTTGTACAAAAGGGGTTCAGTTCAACATGTCAATTTATGAGGATGCTATGTGTTAATCAGTGTCACCCCTTCCATCCGTCTCCCTTATCTGTCCCAACCAGGAAGTAGATTTGTAAGAAGCCAGATTCTGTAGTATACCCTACTTCACAAACTAGAGGCAAGACAGAATTAGCAATTTTTTGTGTTTTTTTTTGTTTTTAATAAAGTCCATAAAATAAAACAGAGGACAACCCTATATTCCATTTCTTAGTCGCACTGGCCCTATTTCAAATGCTCAGTTGTCACCTGGGAGTGACAGCTTCTCCAGGATCGGTCACAGGGGCTTGTATCGCATGGCGCAAGGCTGAAAAAAGGACATGGAGTCTGGTGAAACAGTACTTTAAATCAAGTCCTCCTACAAGCTGAAACTGGCAGGGCAACCAACTCGCTGTCTCTGAGTCTGTTTCCCGTGGGCAGAGTGAGACTGGTGCCATGTACCATGACAAGGTGAAGAAGAAGAAATGAGAGAATGCAGGGCACAGATCTCTGGATCAATGCTGTGTGTCATTCAGCATGGGGTCAAACTGGCTCTTTGTGGATTGATTGCAAATCCATCAATAGTTCCGTACCAGGATTTTTTTTTTTTGCCTTAATAAGGCCATAAAAATGTTGCTACAGCCAGGTGCCAGTGGCTCATACCTGTAATGCTAGCTACTCAGGAGGTTAACATCTGAGAATCTCAGTTCAATGCCAGCTAGGGCAGACAAATCTGAGACTCTTATCTCCATTTAACCAGCAAAAAGGCCAAAAATGGAGCGGTGACTCATGTTATATGCTGCAAAAACAGATTGTCCTAAACAATGACAGCTTACAAAAGGCTGTTGGGGAATTAATCGAATAGAAGTACTGTGATTATGGGGTGTGTATACACACACACACACACACACACACACACTTCGTCCAAGTCACTTAGGTTATTTTGTTTTGTTTTGCAGGTCCTAAGGCTTCCACTCAGAGCCTGGGCCCTGTCTCTGAGCTTTTTTTTTTTGCTCAAGGCTAGCGCTCTACCACCTGAGCCATTGCTCCACTCCTGGCTTTTGGGAGGGTAGTTCATTGGCGAACAAGAGTCTCATGCATTTTCCTGCCGGGGCTGGCTTTGAACCACGATCCTCAGACCTCAGCCTCCTGAGTAGCTAGCTTTACAGGTGTGAGCAGGCAACTCACGTCGGGGTTTTTCCTGCACAACTTGAGACCACTTCGGGGCTGCTGCGTTGGCAGATCGGCCTTGGATCTTATTTCTCATCCCCCATCCCAGCGTCCCCTTCCTTCCCAAACGCGAGTCCTTGGAGAATGTGAGTAGATACAGAAGGTGAGCCAGGTTGGGAGGGAGGCCCGAGCTCACGCGCCCTCGCCCCTCTCTCTGTCCCTCCTCTCCCCAGCCGCGCCAGCCGTGGATGCCTCTGACATCATGACCGCCGAGGATTCCACCGCAGCCATGAGCAGCGACCCGGGAGCGGCCCCGGCCGCAGTCAGCTCCGCCAAGGTGCCGGAGGGCGTGGCGGGCGCGCCCAACGAGGCGGCCCTGCTGGCGCTGATGGAGCGCACGGGCTACAGCCTGGTGCAGGAGAACGGGCAGCGCAAGTACGGGGGTCCCCCGCCGGGCTGGGAGGGCGCGCACCCCCAGCGGGGCTGCGAGGTCTTCGTGGGCAAGATCCCCCGCGACGTGTACGAGGACGAGCTGGTGCCGGTGTTCGAGTCGGTGGGGCGCATCTACGAGCTGCGGCTGATGATGGACTTCGACGGCAAGAACCGCGGCTACGCCTTCGTCATGTACTGCCACAAGCACGAGGCCAAGCGCGCCGTGCGCGAGCTCAACAACTACGAGATCCGGCCGGGCCGCCTGCTGGGCGTGTGCTGCAGCGTGGACAACTGCCGCCTCTTCATCGGCGGCATCCCCAAGATGAAGAAGCGCGAGGAGATCCTGGAGGAGATCGCCAAGGTCACGGAGGGCGTGCTGGACGTGATCGTCTACGCCAGCGCGGCCGACAAGATGAAGAACCGCGGCTTCGCCTTCGTGGAGTACGAGAGCCACCGCGCCGCCGCCATGGCGCGCCGCAAGCTCATGCCCGGCCGCATCCAGCTGTGGGGGCACCAGATCGCCGTGGACTGGGCCGAGCCCGAGATCGACGTGGACGAGGACGTCATGGAGACCGTGAAGATCCTCTACGTGCGCAACCTCATGATCGAGACCACCGAGGACACCATCAAGAAGAGCTTCGGCCAGTTCAACCCGGGCTGCGTGGAGCGCGTCAAGAAGATCCGCGACTACGCCTTCGTGCACTTCGCCAGCCGCGAGGACGCCGTGCACGCCATGAACAGCCTCAATGGCACCGAGCTGGAGGGCTCCTGCCTCGAGGTCACGCTGGCCAAGCCCGTGGACAAGGAGCAGTACTCTCGCTATCAGAAGGCGGCCAAGGGCGGCGGCGGCACGGTGGAGGCCGCGGCCGCCGCGCAGCAGCCCCCGGGCTACGTGTACTCCTGCGACCCCTACACGCTGGCCTACTACGGGTACCCCTACAACGCGCTCATCGGGCCCAACAGGGACTACTTCGTGAAAGGTTAGTGGGGACCCTTCTGGGCGGGTCTCCCTGGGGAGGGGGGTGCAGCAGGGAGCCTGGCTGTGGGTTCCTGAGTTTTCCTTACCCCACTCAGGCGGGCTTGCTTGAGTTCTGAGCTCTCCTTGTTGGTTCAGATGAGTCACTTTTGTAGCATGGAAGGAAATGCAGATTTAAAAGAAGGCGTGTGTGTGTGTGTGAGAGAGAGTGCATGTGTGTGTGCATACGTGCACGCGCCGGGGCTTGAACTCAGGGCCTGCCCACAGTCTCTGAGCTTTTGTGCTAGCTCTCTACCACTTGAGCCACAACTCTACTTCCAGGTTTATTTGTGGGGGTTTTTTGGTGATTAATTAGAGTCTCACAAACTTTCCTGCCCAGGCTGACTTCAAACCATGATCCTCAGATCTCAGCCTCCTGAGTAGCTAGGATTACAGGCATGAGCCACCAGCGCCTGGCTGAAATGCAGGAGTTTCTGGAGTAAGCAGCAGAGTAAAAGGTCTGCATTCTCCCTTGGCAAGGCCTACCTCATCTGGAGCAGATGCCCGTCTCATGGAACTTAGCTTCACACTTCTTTCTGAAGTTAACTCTTTAAGTCGTCATTGCTTACAGTCATTGATGAGGATATAATGAAATCAAGCCGCATGCTGGAAACAGATAACCCAGGGGTTATCTAGGCTCTGCTCTCTCATTAACTGATTCTGTGACCTTCATTAATGTCCCTAGGCCTGTTTTCTCAAGCATAAAATGAGGATGGTAGACTAGCAGGTCCTTTTCAGGTCTAATTTTTACATTCTGAATTCCAGGAACTCACCTTGTGAGTTAGTGGCTTGTTCTAAGTAGAGAGTGCTAATGTAGGCTGAAATAGAATGTTTGAAGCATCTTCAGCAATCATTAACGATGTAAGGTATAACCACCTGCCACTCAGACACAGGACGAATGAACTGTGTCCCCCATTCCCCCATACCCCGCCTTTCCAACCTGTCTCTTGCTCATCATCTTTTTGTGTTGTTACTATAAGCAGGCAGCATAAGAGGCCGGGGGCGAGGTGCAGCTGGCAACAGAGCCCCAGGGCCCAGGGGCTCCTACCTTGGGGGATACTCTGCTGGCCGTGGCATTTATAGCCGATATCACGAAGGGAAAGGAAAGCAGCAAGAAAAAGGATATGAACTTGTGCCGAATCTGGAAATCTCTGCCGTCAATCCAGTTGCCATTAAGCCTGGTGCAGGTCAGTATGAACCAGAGCAAGAATGAGTCATTTGATCCAATCGTCAACTTCAAGCCTTCCCACTTTCCCCTTCCACCCCTTCACCCCCTGATCTTTTCTGTCTACATGCATTTGAGTTTCTCTCTTGATTGGTAGCCAGGCAGGCAAAAAGAAGGTGGTCTCCTGGGCTTTCTTCCCTGGAATTTGGGGGCTAGGCTAGGTCTCACCATGTTCAAGTCCACCTGGAAGACTCTTGATCTTGTCTAAAACCCATCAGCACTCAGGCATGTTTCTTGCTCTTAACCATCAGGCCAGTTATTTTCCTGTTTTTCTTCTTTGTTTTTCCTTTGGCAGTAGTGGGGTTGAAGCAGGGCGTTGGGCATGCTCTGCCACTGAGCGGTAGCCATAGCCTTGCCCCTTCCATTAGAAACCAGAGGGTACTGCTGAATTACCAGTTGGGAGAATTGTTGAGAAGTAGAAATTTCCCCCTTAAAAGCAAACAGCTCCCTTTGTCCTCTGTTACCATCTGAGCAAACAAGAACACTTGGGGACAAGGCAGCAACTTTTTGCAGCTACTGGATTCTAATTCCCAGAATTCACTCCCTCTTTTGCTAAATCAGTAGATTTTAGAGTCATTCCTTCACATCTCAGATCATTTGAAACAGACCTTGAACTTGGCTTTCACTTCTAGGTTAAAAACCTGTTTGCCATTGTTAGCAACCTTTAACGTGTGTCGGGCATTCTGATCTCAACCTGCAAGATACTCAACTCCATCCTGTGAGTTGAGCACTCACTTGCTATGAGAGCAGGCAAACTTCTGAACACAAGGGAAATTCAGTCTCTGTGTTGTTAACTGGACTGATGCTTTTCCTGGCCTCACTGAGTATATGTTAAAAAGTGCTGAGACTTATTTTGATATACTTCCATGGAGGAGGAGGAGTGTACAGTTTCCTCTAGATCAAATAGAATCGTGTGTGTGTGTGTGTGTGTGTGTGTGTGTGTGTGTGTGTGTGTGTGTGTGTGTGTGTATTTGGGACATGGGTTCACTTTGGCCTTGCAAAACTCAAAATAAAATTCCCAGTGAAACAGCCATTTGAAGATACCCACTGGTAATCAGTGATTTTTTTTTTTTAATCCTACCATCTCTGCAGTTAAGTGACTCCTTGTACTAGATTGCCTTTTTTTTTTTTTGGTCCGGTTTTTGGGGCCTGAACTCTGGGCCTGGGCGCTGTCCCTCAGCTCTTCAGCTCAAGGCTAGCGCTCTACCACTTGAGACACAGCGCCTCTTCCGGCTTTTTTCTTTTTGCTTATGTGGTGCTGAGGAATCGAACCCAGGGCCTCAACAGTCTTTAGCTGTGTGGAGTCATGTCATCCTAGTATAGACTCTTGTGGGTTGGCAGCCAGAACAGCACAGTTACTCAGTGCAGCTCCTGTGGCTCAAGCTTAGAACCTTCTCTGGACCCCAGTCCCATGCTTCTATTTCTGATCATCCAGAAAATTCGAGCTTTGTATTTAGCTTTGTATTTTAGGAGAGGCAGTAGGATAGCAGCAAAGTATCCAAGCACAAGACCAGTGGAAAATTTGGTAGGACGGACATGTGAAATATTGCTTGTTATGTGTGTGTGTGTGTGTGTGTGTGTGTGCATGCACGCGGGCACACATGCATGTGCGGGCTTGCACTTTCACTTGGTAATTTCACTCAAGGTTGGTGCTCTACCACTTGAGCCAGTACCAGGTCAATTTTTTTGTCAGTTATGAGCCTTAAAACTTGGGGCCTAGACGCTTTCCCTGAGCTCTTCTGTTCAGTGCTAGCTAGCGTTCTATTACTTGGAGCCCCAGCACCACTTCCAGTTTTCTGGTGGTTAACTGGAGATAAGAGGCTCACAGACTTCCCATTCTGGCTGGCTTTGAACCACGATCTTCAAATCTCAGCTTCCTATCAGTTAGTATTATAGGTGTGAGCCACCAGCCCTCAGCCCAGATTGATATTTTTTATTGAATGACCATACTATTGTTGAACTTATGTTCATTTTCCTCCTTCCCTCTGATCAAGTCAATCTTTAATAGAATGAGTATACCTGCAGGTGGAGAAAACAATTAATGAAAGAATTCTTTATGCATACATTTTATACTCTTTTTGTCCATGGTGGTATTTATTTAGTTTTCTTTTCGTTTTTCTGTTGGTACTTAGGGGCTTGAACTCAGGACCTTTAGCTTCTTTGTTCTAGGCTGGCACTACACCAATTGAACCACAGCTTCATTTTTGGCTTTTTTTCTGTTTTGGTGGTTAATCTTTCCTGGCTGGTTTCACTTGGCTCCTCAGATCTCAACCCCCTGAATAGATGTACATTGACATTCAGTAATGGTGTCTGTTCAGATCACTGCAGGAAATCATTCCTTTGGACTTAACTCACAGGAATTATTTGAGTCAACAGGTCCCACGGAGACACCAGTCCCTTCCCCGCTTCACTGCTGAGTGGATAGTAGAAAATTACAGAATGTTTCCATTTTTATTACATTTTGTTTTCTGCCATTGAATTAATAAGTTGAATTATGAAGTATGTTGGACTTCAGTGGGCGAGGTGAGACAGAAAGAATGGACAGACTCTCCTTCCCCCGTGTCTGGCCAGGCCACTGGGCACAGGTCTTCTTAGTCTACTTCCTCAGTCAGAGACCCTCTGTTCCTTCATAGGACATCAAGAATAGTATTGTTGCCGGGTGCCGGTGGCTCATGCTTGTAATGCTAGCTGTTTAGGAGACTGAGATCTGAGGATCACAGTTCAAAGCCAGCATGGGTAGGAAAGTCCATGAGACTCTTATCTCCAATAAACCACTAGAAAACTGGAAGTGGTGCTGTGGCTCAAGCGGTAGAGTGCTCGCCTTGAGCTGAAGAGTTCAGGGACAGCGCCCAGGCCCAGAGTTCAAGCCCCATGACTGACAAAAAGAATAGGATTGTTGAAGGGGTGACACAGATCAAGATGTATTGTATTTGCTTTGGTAACTCTCCCTTGTACAACTAATTTAGATAGATAGATAGATAGATAGATAGATAGATAGATAGATAGATAGATAGATAGATAGATTCAAAGGAGATGTTGCTATAGAAATAGCAGAAGACATTGGAGGGAAAGCTAGCTGACCTATGGGGAAACTCCATGTGCAGGTGCAGGACTGGTTCAGACTGGCACAGCCTTAGTTAGCATGGAGAGGCCCTTGATTGTAAACCTTGGATTTTAAAATACTGCAGAGCCTCCCTGATGATCGGAAGCTAAGGACATGTTTTCTGTATTGCTTCTCTTGCAGTGGCCATTCCTGCCATCGGAGCCCAGTATTCCATGTTTCAGGCAGCCTCCGCCCCGAAAATGATAGAAGATGGCAAAATCCATACCATGGAGCATATGATCAGCCCCATTGCAGTGCAGCCAGACCCAGCTAGTGCTGCTGCCGCCGCCGCTGCCGCTGCCGCCGCCGCTGCAGTCATTCCTGCCGTCTCCACCCCACCACCTTTCCAGGTACAGTGGAGCCGCTCTTTATTGCAAGATTCAGCACTGTGTGCCTAACTGTCAACATTATGAGATTGGGTAGTTGGTGTGTGTGTGTGTAAAGAATATATTCAATATGTGTATGTAATGTAGCGTATGTGTGTAAAGAACTTGCACAGATACTGATCCATGCACGTTTACAAAATCTGCCCTCTTTCCACCAGCCATATCTCACACTGTTCCTCTCTCTCCCTAAACCAATCCCTCCTTCACTCCCTCCTTTCACCACTAATTGACTTAGAGTATAACAATACTCATGTCCTCTCTCCTGTACAATCTCCCTTCCACTATCCTAGCAACGCCTTCCCGTCAGTTCTTCTTAGCTCCATTCCTCTGTGGCATGTGGCTGCCATGACACTGTGTGTTGGAAGGAAGCGCAGCCAGCATGAAGGCTGCGGAGAGTGCTACATGTATTTAAGTCTGTCACAAGGAATCCTCTTGCCCAAGGTCTCTCTAGGAAGTCTGGACTCAGAGCCCTGAACATGTCCATTCAGGAGCTGGGCTGGGGTTCTAGAATGAGTACTTTGTCTCAGAGCCTCGCTGGTTCTGGGTCAGAGCCAGGCTGTGTCACTACAAGAAAGTGCCGCTTCCTGTTCCTGCCTCCTGGGAACCCAGCGTCGACTACATTCTTCACAAAGAGCTTATCCAGCCATCCACATGTCATTCAATACTCATTTTATTTTTATGCCGATCCGAGGGCCTGAACTCGGGGCCTGGGTGCTGTCGCTGAGCTGCTTTTTGCTCAAGGCTAGGTCTCTACCACTTGGGCCATAGCTCCATTTCCAGCTATGTTTTTTTATTAAGTACTCTATGACTGAGAACCTCTTAAAGCACACATCAGAAATAAACAAGTCACGCTTTACAAGGACAACTGAGTTTAGTTACTACTTGTAGACAATGTATATATTCATAACAACTTCTGGACATCATGCAACTCAAGTAATTTCCTATATTTTTTATTCACATAATTGTACCTTTTATAGGCTGTCTTGTGATATTTTAATAGATATGCATAATTCTTCTCTATAAATAAACTCATGATATTTGTCTTGAGTATATCATCCCAGTTCCAGTCGGGTCCAAATCTCAGACCCATTAATCACACTCAGCTTCCAGACTATTCCTGGCTCATATCTGCCTGCTATAGATGGCATCATGGAAGCCGTCATTTGTGGTCTCTGTGGATGAATTTGATCAAAGTATAGTCATTGTCAGTTGATCATGAGAAAATTTGTACCTCCTCCAGTGCTTTCTGCACAATGTCTGGAACAGCTGACTTTTTAACAAGTGGGGTCTTAGTAGTCTCTAAACTCTAAGTACCCCTAACTCATCTGAGTACTTGAACTTGATTTCCCTGGCCTGCTAGCCTTCAGCCTCTTCTGAATCCTCTGCCAAATTGCAGCAAAGAAAGGAACATTCCAATGTCACTGGCTGACAAGAAAGCAAGAGGAAGGAAGGAAGGAAAAGAGAGGAATAAGGAAGGAAGGAAAAAGAAAAGGAAGGAAGGTACTTTTCTTTTTTCTTTTACTTCCTTTTAGTATTTTGGTATTTTTATTTGGCAGTACTGGAGAGTAAGCTCAAGGCCTTGTACTTGATAGGTATGATTCTACTTGAGTTATGCTGCTAGCCCTGTCTTTTTTTTCCAATTGTGGAGCTTGACTCTCTCGGCCTGGGCACTGTCCCTCAGCTCTTCAGCTCAAAGCGAGCACTATACCACTTGAGCCACCACGTCACTTCCCGATTTCTGGTGGTTAATTAGAGATAAAGAGTCTCACAAGTCATTCCTGCCTGGGCTGGCTTTGAACCACAATCCTCAGATCTCAGCCTCCTGAGTAGCTGAGTACAAGTGTGAGCCATTGGCACCCAGCTAGCCCTGTCTTACTTAGTTTTTCAGATAGAGGCTGAATCTTTTGCCCAAGCTGGCCTCGGACCTCAATCCTTCTGCCTGCTCCTCCTAAGTACCTAGGATTTTAGGCCTACGTCACTACGTCTGGCCTAAAAAGAACACCTTTCTAAGCCTCACTGGTCACTGACTCCCCAGAGTGATCTGAAGCGCCTGCCTCCCTGGGGCACACCTCACCCTCCTCTGCCTTGCAGGTGCTCAGGGATCCTGTTTAACCATTTCATCTCCAGAATTTCACAGAGCCTTTGCAAACAGTGAGGAAATATTTGCCAATGTGAGCTTAGCCATTTTGCGAAACGATGTTCCCATGTGTTCTTAATCTTCACAACAATGGGATGCAAGTAGCACAGTGATCACCATTGCCTTTGACAAGAAGAAAACTTCAGCCCTTCCCCTCCCCAAACCCCACCTTGCATCTCATCCTAAGAGTATTATGTGGCTTAAGTCACATTTCCTCACCAGGACCCTGGCCTTCCACATGTGTTCTGCAAAGGGAATGCGTGCGCTTAGGAATTGGATGTCTGCACATTGCACGTTGCCACCCAGCAAGCCTCAGTGCCATCTTTCCTTGTAACACCCTGGCCATTAGCAAACACACATTGATCTTGTTTACTGGCAAATGGGACTACAGGAAGCTGGGCTGGCCAGTTGGTATTGCCACATAGCTGAGTCATGAACTGCCCTCATTTTTGTAAATCTCTTCCTGGTACTACGCTCTTGCTAAGTCGATCTCAAAGTGTTTCTCAGTGGTAGAATGATTGCTTAGCACACACAAAGGCCTGAGGTTTGTTACACAGCACAATCACACACGCACACATGCGCACACACACACATACATATATCCACATACATACTTGATTTGCTTAATTCTTTGATCCTATGCATGTTATATATTGCCAGTACATAGCTCAGGACAGACTCCTCATCTGTTATTCTCAGTATGTGCTGGTCTCTAGCAGTAATGCACAGAGTGGTACACGTAGCCCTTGTTTGGTGTTTATGACCCTTAAGGTCATGTGTCCAGGTTAAGCCACCTGTATCGGGACATGTCAAAGTCTTGTTTCTTCTGACTCAATTCTGTCCCTTCCCATCCCTGAGCTATGAGCCATGATGTACTCAACCTGGTATTGGATGAGTGGTCTCCATTCAGGGCTTGAGCCAGAAAGGCATGTGGCCATCTAAGAGCTGTCACCTCTTCCTTGAGGCATCTGTTATACAGCATGTGCCCGCATTTTGGGAAAAGGTCCTTGTGTCTGGCTGGGACACCATCCTCTCCCTAGTCTGAGACATTCATTGTCCAATGGGTTGGAGGTGAGGTCATACTGGGACAAGACTTAAAAGCCCTGTCGTTCTGTTCATGCTCACATCACTGAGCACATCTGCACCTCTCCACAAAATCAAGTCTCCAACTTGGCTTTGAGCTGCAACGAGGCCAGGATACAAATAAGGTACTCAGAATAGTGCCTGGTAGACAAGAACCTCTGGGTTACCATCATTGATGATCATCGGTAAAGCTATTGTTTTGATTTGTTGAAAAAGGTATTCTCACGTTTACAAGTTCTTTTGAGCACAGTTCTGTGAGTCTTGTTTGAAGATCTAGTTAGGGAAATTAGAACCCAGGAAGAATTAACTTTAATACCCCACCCTTCCTTCCCTTTTTTTCCGGTGGTAGTGGGGTTTGAACTCAGGATCTCATACTTGCTAGGCAAACGCCACACCTCTAGCCCAATACCTTTTAAATAAACATTTCCATTTCCTGTATTATAAATCTTGTGTTTTGAGATATAGCGAGGAAGAGAGACCAAATGCCAGCATTCAGTTGAGCATAGTCTATGGAACATAAGGCATACCAAGTATTTTGTAAAGTTTTAATACCAAAACACCCATTTTCTATTGAACAGCTCCCTGAACTGCTCCCTGGCAAATCCCTGGAGAATTATTGGGCCTCAAGGTCTTGTCCTCCTACTCCTGTCTCTCTGGAAACATTGTATATATTTCCTGTGGGCATGGCAGGCACAAATATAGAGCACAGAGGCAGCCATCTTTACAGTGACCCTCCTCATGTAGAAACTCCTCCTTATCCTTCAAAACCGTGCATGCTGTCCCCACTTTTAGATGCTTTCTCCAATGCTCCAAGTTAATTGACTCCTCTAATCTACAAATTGTGCGTATATTGCCGCCATGTGGGAGACCACCTGTCACACTGGCTGGAAATACGGGGTTTACTGTGAAGAAACTGTCCCTATTGGGGGGACCCACTCCACTAACATGACACAGTCCTCTTTCTGCTCTGTTTCTGAAGCATGTTCCGTCAGGCAAGTATAAATTGAAGCAGTTGGCATATATTCAGGGGGTACATATTTGTTTTATTGTTTTACTTTTTTTTTTTCAGTCGTGGGCCTGGGTGTTATCTGTCCCTCAGCTCTTCAGCTCAAGGTAGGCGCTCTACCACTTGAGCCACAGCACCACTTTTGGTTTTCTGGTGATTAATTGGAGATAAGAGTCTCACTGGCTTTCCAGCCTGGGTTGGATTTGAACTGTGATCCTCAGATCTGAGCCTCCTGAGTAGCTAGGTTTACAAGCGTGAGCCACCGGCATCCAGCCAGCTTTATTTTTTTATTTCTTTTGAGACAGAATCTTGTTATGCAGTCTAGGCTGGCTTTTAGCTAGCTCATAATCCTCATGCACCAACTTCTCAAGTCTTAGGATTACAGGCATGTACCACCATGCCTGGCTTAGTGGACATACTTTAGGAAAAACACTCTTTTTTTTTTTCCGGTGCTGGTACTGAGGCTTGAACTCAGGGACTGGGTACTGTCCCTTAGCTTTTTCTGCTCAAAACTGGTGCTCTATCACTTGAGTCATACTTCCACTTCTGGCTTTTCGTAGTTAACTGGAGACGAGAGTCTCCTGGGCTTTTCTGCCTGGGCTATGATCCTCAGATCTCTGCCTCTTGAGTAGCTAGGATTACAGGTGTAAACCATCAGTGCCTAACGAAACCAAACAGCAACAAAAACACTCATGTTTAATTACTGTGTGGGAGCCGGGCACTGGTGGCTCACACCTACTCCTAGCTACTCAGGAAGCTGAGATCGGAGGATGGTGGTTCAAAGCCAGCCTGGGCAAGAAAGTCTGTGAGACTCTTATCTCCAATTAACCACCAGAAAACTGGAAGTGGTGCTGTGGCTCAAGTGGTAGGGCACTAGCCTTGAGCCAAAGAGCTGAGGGACAGCGTCCAGGCCCAGAGTTCAAGCCCCACGACCACTAAATACATAAATATATACATACATACTGTGTGGATGGTAGATTCTGAACTCCCTTCTCTCTGACTGACTGAGTGCAATGAGGGATAGAAGATTTCCAGTGGAATCCAACCTTTCCCCTTCAGCCTTCCCTGTCCATCTCCCCTTTCATCAAGGGTCTCATTACTGAATGTGAGCGAGTAAATAGAGTAGTTGTCACCTGCCCTGAGTGAGAAGTCTTCTCTCTCCATCCTGCTGCTCCCAGCCCCCTGGAGGATGGTTGTAAATGAATGGAGGACGGTGCTCACACCCAGGTTGAAGCAAGGATTCTCTTCACCTCTCCTCTCCAGGGTCGCCCCATAACTCCAGTGTACACCGTGGCTCCGAATGTTCAGAGAATTCCTGCTGCCGGCATCTATGGGGCCGGTTATGTCCCATTTGCCGCCCCGGCCACAGCCACCATCGCCACACTACAGAAGAATGCAGCCGCCGCCGCGGCCGTGTACGGAGGCTACGCGGGCTACATACCTCAGGCCTTCCCCGCCGCTGCTATCCCGGTCCCCATCCACGACGTCTACCAGACGTACTGAGCCTGGTTGCCCCCAGGGACAAGCCACCAAGCCACCGCTGAAGGAACGAACACTCTACTATTTATGAAGACAGAATGTGTTCCATTCCTACCTACATGGGTCCTGAGTGAAGAATGTCAAATATCACACCAGAAAACGCTATATATAGAGAGAGAAAGTTTTCACTCGGGTTTTGTTGTTGTTGTTGTTTTTTAAAGACTTTCCAACTTAGCAGGCCTGTGTTCATACATTTCTAAGAGACTTGCAAAAAAGGTTCGTGCCTTAATTCCATCTTTTTTTTTTTTTCCCAAATTTGTACGACACTTGTATAGAGGTTTTCCGGGGTTTTTGTTGTATTGTGTTGTTTTCTAAGGATATATTTTCAGTATGAAGGTTATTTTCTTAACTGTTGCACTCCAGAGATTTCTATTTTGTAGTACTTTCAAGAATAATCTTATCACCTATATATTAAAAAGATTTTTAAAGCACCCTTGAGCAGCTAGGGAACTATTTTGAAAAAAATATATATATTCAATATTTAAAGATACGAACGATAGTGCTTTAAAATACTACATAAGACATTTTTTTTGAAAGTGGTACTGGAATGTGCAATTTTAAATAAATTAAAACCTCTGCTGTATTTTTTCTGCTGGTATCAAGGGCTGGTGATGTGACAATGCCTTTATTTTTTTAGTTGAAATGAAGCACTCAGCCTCTCCTTAAACCAGCCTGGGAAAGACTCATCCGTGCTCTGAGTCTAACACTGGAAAGCCCTGACCTGCCATCTTTCCCCGGCCCTCATTCTCTAGGTGCCTTTCCTGCTACTAATCCCTTCCTCTCTCCTCCATCTCCCAATTCATCTCCAATGTTTCTCAAGTTTAGGACAAATAGCTAAACTGCAGTAGAGGGGGAAAAAAAAACCTACTATCTTTTATACTTCTTCCTGGGTTTATACTGGGTCTTTTTGTTTTGTGATAAATATTTTTTGGAGGGATTTGGGAGGTTTTATCTTCTATCTGTGCTCTTTTCAATAGCAGACTACATGTAAGCACAAGGTTTTAATATGTTTGCCTAAGACATCTTTGCATAGCTATTTAATTGTCCAGTATAAAACTTTTAAGTCCCTTTCTACTGCTTTTCATTATTATTATTTTGAAGTATGAGTTTTTAGAGACAAAGAATGTATGTGCTTCTAGACAAGGCCCTAAAGACTTGTCAGCAGAAAGCCAAGCCTGTAGTTTGCCTTATCATGCATTATGCAAAACGTCTGTGGGTTGTCAGAGGGGCTGGAAACGTGATGTTTGTTGAACAGGGCTGTCCCTCCAGTACTGTGCACTTGGCAGTGAACTTGGACCATGCACATCCCGGAGCAGGAGAGACCTGCCAGAGTTGAAAGAAAGTTTGTAAATATCTTCTAATGCTTACTTTCAATCCTTTCACGTTGAGGAAGTTCATGGCATATAGTTCAATGCAAAACTGAAACCATTTTATTTCAATGTTATTATTAGTTAAGCAGATTTGTTTTATTAGGAAATATATTGTCCAGTGTTTAGTGCCTGTTTTGTCACAGGTTTTTTTGTTTCACAGAGTGAATGTAAAATACAGTCACATGTTAAGATTGTCATGTTTTATGAACTACATCAAGTTAACTTTTTTATTAAAAAAAGGCTTTAATCAAGAAAATGAGGTGTGCAGTAGGTAGCAGGTACACCATTGTGTTTTATGTCATGGTAGAGATCTGTGAAATATTTCTAACTCACTGGATTTTTGTGGATGGCGGAATTCTTACTTGTGGATTCATAAGAGGACCACGCCCTTAGCAAATACTTTTCGAGTATCTGCTTATTGTCTTTATTATTTAAAAAAAAATAGGAGATTCCCAAATGCCTTCCATCCCTGCTCATCTCGATGAGCTTTTATATATATAAGGAATATTTATTTTTTAGCTATTCTATAAAATTATTGAGTGCCTGCTAAGGCCTTTAAACATTCCTGGTATTCCTTTCCATCCTTCTTGTATGACATGAAGTAATCGTGCAATGATTCTGATGCTCTAGCCAGAAAGCTGCATGCAAATGCAAGTGCACGGGCGAGCAAAACCTAACCAAAAAATGCCATTCGGATCCGACCCTCTTCCCTTGACTTGTGTGAAAGAAAGCAAGCATCATTCTTCCAGCAAATGATTGTTCACAGAGATTCACTGGATGACATGCTGGCCCAGTGTTCCTACTGTATTTTACATGTGCCTATAAACCATTTGCAAAAAATAAAATAAAATAAAAGGTGTTATCTTAACCTGGCAACCACCAGGCTACCTTGAAAACAAATGTTGGTGACAGCCAGTTAAGTTACCCAAAACCCTCTGTGGTCTTACCTGTTCCTATTTGAAAAACCATTTCATGTACACACTACTGAGGTGAGTCTATAACTTGAAATGTGAACTCTTTTTTTTTTTTTAGGGTTAAGAACAAACTATATAAATGTTTTTAAAACAGAGTCTTAGAGTTTTATTTTCAAACATGCTCATAGTTTAGTTATCTGTAGCTGCTTTGTATTGGAAAAGCTTTTTAGATCTTGCTCCATTTACAATACATTCTAAGGATGTATGTAGTAAATAAAGCTTTCTTTAAAGCAATTTTAAGATGTGTTTTATTTTTATAAGACAGCTCTCCTCTAACACATAAACACACAAACCCCAACAAATTAGGAAAACCCTGTAGGGGGAATGAACTAAATCGACATTTTCTGTTGGAGAAATGTTCATGCTTTTGTCATATCTTTGCCAAGAAGGACTATGGAAAGAGGTTGGATTGTGAATAATTGCTATGCCGTGACTTAGACTGGGTATGGTAGAAGGTTGAATAGTTGATTAATAGTCAGCTTTTGATTGGGAATAGATAAGGCAAAGCCTGTCGCTGCTGTCAGGGTGGACATTTGTTTATGATTCCAGAGCTCTAAAGTCAGAAGGAGAAATGGCAGTTGGCACACTGAATTATTTAGTAATCTCATGTAAGTGCAGGAGATCTTGATATTGGTCACTTCATCAGAAACCAGGATTTTCTTTTTTCTCCTTTGCAGGTGAACAAGGTTCACTGAATGCTTCCTTCCCTTTTTCTCATGATACCATCACCAACTTCAGACAGAATCTATCAGCAAACCCCAGCAAGCAATTAGAAAGTGACAAGTTGTCAATAGAATTGTGGAACTTCTCAAAATTGTACCTTTGGGTTTGCCAGTAATTAATTAACAAAAAACTTGTCCCTTTGGGTTTGCCAGTAATTAAGTAATTAACTTTAAACCTTGGTCATGACCTCCCACCTACAATCCTAACTTCTTCTTAAACACATAAAGACCTTTCTAGAGCCAGAAGAAGCCTGGGAACTTCCCAAGGAGACCCATCATTAGGCAGTGTTCTTAAGGGCAACAGATCTTGTGGAGAAGAGTTTATATTAGATGCTTAGAAAGAGCTCACTGCCTTACTGTGGTCCCAAACCTCTGCTCCATGCAGGCTTTGTTCTAGGAGCCAAAGTCTGGTTTCTCTGGCCGTTTGGAGATGACCTAGTGGAGAGCACAAAGGACCAGGCCAGGTGAGCGTGAAGGCAGAGATGATGTGACTCAGTAGGCTCTGGATGCCACATCTCAGGTGGACCACATAATAAATCATGAAGTAGTCAGATGCAGGCCTCGCTGAGGTCACACAGCTGGTGAGAACGGAGACTCACATCTGAGTCGTCAGCCTGGGGTCCCAGACTAGAACAGCACACTGACCCTGGACTTGGGTAAACTGAATGTTTTAGGGAAAGAAAAGGAAAGCCTGTTGAGATAGCGTGTGCCTATAATCCCGTATTGGAAGGCTGAGGCGAGAGGATGGAAAGTTCAAGGTTATCCTAGTCTACTTAGGTTGTTATTGTTTTTGTTTTGTGCCAGTGTGAGGCTTGAACTCGGGGCCTGGGCTCTGTCCCTGAGCTTTTTCCCCTCCAGGCTAGCACTCTATCACTATGAGCCACAGTTCTACTTCGGGCTTTTTGGTGGTTAACTGGAGATAAGTGTCTCATGGACTTTCCTGCCTAGCCTGGCTTTGAACGGTGATCCTCAGATCTCAGCCTTCTATGTGGCTAGGATTATAGACATAAACCACTAGTGCCCTGCTCTCTGTATTTTTCAAAAAATGTGTTCTCATGCAACTTACTGGATAGGAACTAGAGGTTGAGTGGCTGAAAATGCCTGCAGACCTTAGAAGACACAATAGAATATGTCAGGTTGGTGAACGAGTGTACACTTACAGATTTAAAGAATTCCAGCTACGAGGCACAAAGATGGAGGACTCTTATCAACTATCACAGGAAATCTGATCTACCCTCTAGCTTTGCTTGATTGGTGCTGGGCATCAAAACCAAGGCCCCATACATGCTAAAAGCACATGCTAGGGACTGGGAATGTGGCTTAGTGGTAGAGTGCTTGCCCTGGTAGAGTGCATGAAGCCCTGGGTTCGATTCCTTAGTACCCCATATGCAGAAAAAGCCAGAAATTGCACTATGGGTCAAGTGGTAGAATGTTAGCCTTGAGTAAAAGAAGCTCAGGGATAGTGCCCAGGTCCTGAGTTTAAGCCCCAGGACTGGCAAAAAGAAAAAGAAAAAAAAATGCTGTGATACCCTTCTGATTCTTCATTACAATATATAGATGCTCCTTTTTTTAATTTCAAAAATATGTCAACACATGCAAGTACTTAGTTGAAAATCAGAAGTCAGTGTAGTCTGGTTTCTATGACCTCAACTATTACATGATACTACCTTTATTATAAAGTCTTAAGGGGCTGGGCACCAATGGCTTGTGCCTGTAATCCTAGCTACTTAGGAGATTGAGATCTGAGGATCCAGTTCGAAGCCAGCCTGGACAAGAGAGTCCCTGAGACTCATCTCCACGATGAGTCTCCAGAAAAGCCAGAGGTGTCATTGTGGCTCAAGTGGTAGAGCACTGGCCTTGAGCACAGAGAGGCTCAGAGACAGAGCGTAGGCCTTGAGTTCAAGCCCCAGGACAGGCAAAAAAAATTTTAAATCTTATGAGCACTCTGCTTTTGTATCAGAGTTTTGGGGGGTTTTTTAGTCATAAGAAGTGTGATGTTTTGACATGGCTATTTCCATGACAGGACATGTTGACACTATGAACATGAAATGATGACATTTTTCAGTTTTGTTAAGGAGCTAGAGAATAGTGTGACGGATGCTCACCTTCACCTCGTCCTATCCCACATTTCTCATTCCTCACCCAAAGTTCAAAAGTAGGGTTAGGTTCAATTTAGAAAAGACTTGGAAGCCAGCTGCAGGTGGATACAATCTTCCTCCTTCTTCTCATTAGATTTCCATTTCTAGGTACCCAGGATCACTCTGTTTTTAACTTCTTAGGCGGATATACCCAGAATACGTGCTGCCCTCAATATCTACCTCTCACAGTACCAGCCTTGCTGCTTAGTCATGTGGCCTTGGGAAAGCCACCGCAGCTCTCAGATCTCTTAATCGCATAGACCTCGTAATCCTGACCTCAGAAGGTCATGGTGAAAACCACATAAGACCGTGAATTTTCAAAGGCTTGACACATTGTGGGCACTTTCTAAAAGGTCCTTTGCTTCCCATTGAGCTCGAGCTACATGAATGCCTTCCTCTAGCTCAGATCCATCAAATTCCATTTTAAGCTTTAGATCTGTTCTGTTTTTATTAAATCATTTATTTGGGGTTTGTTGTTAGTTTTGCAAGTGTGAGGCAAGTGCTTGATCACAAAGTTCCACCCTAACCTGAGTCCCCTCATTCACCCATGTATTAACTATACATTGGAGAGTATTGAATAATTTCTGCTCGCACAGGGGAAGATGTGAGCGAGACAGCGGCAGCTTCAGCTCTGTTTTCCCAGGCAGCATTTATAGCAAGGCACTGTCTTCGCCAGGCACTTATTTGGAAAGAAATGGCAGCCGTGTGCAGGATGTGTGCAGCCATGCTCAGGGTGAGGGGGCATGGGGAAGGTGGCGGAGAGGAAAGGGATGGAGTGTGTTTGGCACTGAGGACTCGACATGGCTATAAAGCAGACTCATTCATAAGGCTGGTTCAGTGTGGCTGTCACAGAAAACGAGTTTTGAACAAGCTGCTCAGCCCCTGATCTTTCCCCAATGCACTTGGCTCAAAGCCCCAAATTCACTGTGGAAGGAGATCCGGGTCCTATAAGGAAGTTGGGAGCCAATAATCCCATGGGAAGAACCCGGGATCATTCATTCGTTCATTCATTCCTCTGACATTTCTTTGCAGATGGCGGAGCCCTCCCACATGGCTGTAGCTAAGGGCTTGTCTAAATTAGTGTGGCACTTCTAACAGGCAGCTGGCTCTCTACTTGATGTCTTTCCTGGCCCAGGCACCGGCCTGCTAAGCCTCCCTTGCCTGGGACAGTTTACAAGAATTTCAGTGTCCTCTTCCTTCTGCAGGTTCAGGTTCTAGCCAGGACCCTCTATGAGGCTGCCAGGGCATCTCTATGGCCCCTAGGCCAAGCTCCCCTGGAACAAGAATGAAGGTTTCAATAGGTCTCCACGTGACTGAAAGTAGAGGAGAGTCCTGAGTGAAATCTTCAGGGAAATCCTGCTTTCACCAATGGTAATATGCTTCCATGGGCTCCAATCCACACCATTAGAGCCACAACCCCAAGCAACTCCAAATTCTGCATTTGCAAGGAACCAACGACCTTTCCCAAGCTAATTTTTAGCCACCCTGATTTCTTGGCTTGCTCTACTTTGTTTGTCAAAGATTTTCATTAATGATTAACCAACCACGAGGTCTGAATAGGCCTTAGTCATTCTAAGAGGGTAAGACTCCTCACTGAAGCCTACTTGTTCCTGGGATGACCTTGCTGCAGTAGTTTGCGGAGACACTTTGAGCTGTGGTATTGGGATCATATTGGGTTCTACCCATTCAAATGTGCTGGGATTTTTCCTCTCCTTGTTCAGGACCTTCAATAACTACTGTGGTAGTACCGTGGGACAGTGTCAGTTCCTCAAGCTCACCACCCAATTCAAATATAGCCATGGACACTTTCTCCTATGAGGAGAATAATTCTGGAAATGAAGCTTATTCTAAATATGCTTTTCTGGAGGAAACTTTCTGAACTTGAGAAAGGCATAAATAATCTATCATTCTTCCCAGCCAACGTGCTCAGTCAAGACTGCCCTCAGAACGGGCACTGGTGGCTCACGCCTATAATCCCAGCTACTCAGGAGACTGAGCTGAGGATCACAGTTCAAAGCCAGCCTAGGCAGGAAAGGCCCTGAGATTCTTATTTCCACTAAACCGTTCACAAAACCGCTGTGGCTCAAGTGGTAAAGCGCTAGCCTTGAGCTGAAGAGTTGAGGAACAGTGCCCAGACTCAGAGTTCAAGCTCACAACCGACAAAAAAAAAAAAAAAAGACTGCCCTCAGTGAGCATTTCTTTGT